GTTATAAAGTTTTATCAAATTTTGGTTTGTTAAAATTCTGGGCTTAGATTTTTTTGTATATATAGCTTTTTAATATCCTGCTTGGTTAAATATATTATATTAGTTTACAAAATAATTAATGTTTGATCTTTTAATGGTTGCCGAGGAGGAAAGGTATTTATATAATATTGACTATTGTTTTTCAATTATTTTTATGCTATTTTGAAAACTATCATTGCAGTAAGGAAGATTCCACCATCATATTTTACAATGAATGACGAGAAATCTAAAAATTTAATGAATTAAATTTTAAAATATGACAGTATAAAATATTATTTTATATGACTGTTTAGAAATTCCTGTTGAAAAAAACATCAAAGTTGTCAAATAATGAATTCAATTACATTCAAGTTTTTGTTTTTGGATATGATATCTTTTTTTTTTATTTGTTTTATTTTAATTAATTTATAAAATTTATTTTTTTAGTTTTTTAGCCTGTAAGATTTGATTCCTGTTTTTTTTAGATAATTTTTTAATTTATTTTTTTCTTTTAAATCAGCACATTTTGTTTTGATAAATTTTTTAAATTAATATTTTTTAGATCAGCACATTTTGTTTTGATAAATTTTTAAAATTAATATTTTTTAAAAAATTTATTGTTTAATATTAAAATACTTGAGAATTGATCTTTTTAATTGAATTTAAATTTATAATTTCAAAAATTAACTTAAATTTAAAATATTTACTTGAGCAAATAATATGTATCAAGACATTGATTTTATCGTTTTGTCTTCTTTTTACAATCTTTTTGCATAGTTAAAAAGACTTGACTTTAAAGGCTTATTTATAATTTTATATTGGTTTTTTAGCTGTAATAATTTAATATTTGAAATTTTTAATCAATATAAATAATAATTAAAAAAAGTTAACCACCCGCGTGATTCACGTGCCATCGGGTATCCGTTTTAGATATATCAATTTAATGTGGCCAATTTTAGGCCCTTAATATAGTTTAATTTGTTTATGTTTAAGATGGGTCCATCACCACCTAGCTCAAGGAAGAAATGGCTGTCAATTTATCAGAAAAGCAACGCCATTGGCCAAAAGGAAAAAGGCATCGGCAAAGCAAGCAAAAGAGGATTTGCCACGTCAGATTAGAGCGATTCCCCCGATAGCCAAATCGAACACCGAGTGCTCTGGACTTTTCCATACCCTGCTCCACAAAAGATTCCCATCAACAATGCATATGGGCTGGGCTTACTACTCAGTTTGGGCTCTCCATCCTACGACCCATTAGCCTCTAAAGGGTACCTCCTCTTGGACATACACATGACACCTGGCACGCTATGCTGCGGGGCCGGATATTAAAGAGAAGATATCAGACTACGGGGGGAGGTGGTTGGCGGCTAATAATAAAAAATGAATTCGAGCTAGCATGGAAATGTGGGTTTTGGATATATTATTAAAATATAACTTTAACATTTTTTATATTATATTATATTATATTATATTATTTAAGAATAGATAAATAATAAGTATCTCATAAAATCTGGAGAAGAGCACAACACCTGATTTTTTTAAGAAATAGCAAGATCATTTATTAATTGAATAAGAATGTTAAAATCATTCATTTTGATTATTTCATCGTCTAATATATATATATATATATATATATATATTCTCTCAATCATGAAAAAAAAGAGGATGAATTCATGTCCATCAAGTATTTATAAATACTAGATACACGTGCAAAAGTATTTTCAAAATATATTCAAGTATCCAAAAGCATTTTATTTTTAATTAATATAGGGTTGACAGAAGTATCCGATGCGAATCGACAAAAATCAAGTGAAATATAGAATTGCATGCAGACACAATATGGATACAATATAGAAGTGTAAGAGAGCTTCCCTTTAACGTGGTGGGAAGGGAGCTAAAACATAGAAAATTAACAGTATATTAAAAGAAATCCACGAAGCATTGTCGCTTACTGTTCATCCTTCTACTTTTTTTTTTTTTTAGTAACGTGGATGTTCGGACCAGCTTGCGCGCATTACGAATAATCTCATGACCCACTGAACATCCTGCAACTTTTTTTTTTTTAAGTAACGTGGATGTCCGAGCCAGTTTACGCGCACCACGACTAATCCCACAACCCACTGAACATCCTGGACTTAATAGAGACATGAAAGAAACCACTCTCCAGCTCCATTGCCACTAGGACTCGAACCGAAGTTCAAAAGAAAGAAAGCAGCGCCGACACCACTGACTCACAACCTGCTAGGTTCATCCTTCTACCTTTAATGTGGACGATAATGTTTAAGTTTTCTTCATTTTATTATTAAAAAGACATGGAAGACTTCAGTTTAGTCCATGAAGTTTTAATTTTAGCATATATGATCTCTATTATTTAGGATTTTATGTTTGGTCATAAACTTCATTTTCCTTACGCTTGGTTCCTAGATATTAAGAGAATAGAGAGAAAGAGTTAAACATGCTAGAAAAAATAAATTAAGAATTGTGAGTTTTTTTTATTTGGTTTTATTTCTTAATTTTTAAAAGTAATTATAGGGTATTTTATGGCCAAAGTAGGTTTCTATAAAATTTTATAAATATTATTTTTTGTGAAAACAAATAGAAGTTTGGGTTTTTAAAGTTCAAAATTAAAATAACATTTAAAGAATTATTCAATTGTGATATAGTTTTCAAATAAGATTATAGTTTTTTATGGTAATATTAACGGTTATAAATTATTATACTTGAATATAATATGCAAAATGTTTTAAGAAGTTAGCCTATAAATATTTAATAATTGTAAAATAAATATTTTGCTGTTTTTTATCACAATTTTTTTACATAATTTTCTTAGATTAATCATTCTTTTATTTTTTTCTCTATAATCAAATAAATATCATCAAATCAAGATTTTTTTTTATTAAAACTTGTTTTTTATACAATAACGAGTTCTTATTTAAAAAAACAATGCTTCTAATAGAATTATTTTTTTCATAATGAAAAAAAATACATGAATAAGGAAAGAGAGTTTTCATTGAGAAAAAATATTTTTTTTCTCTTTAGTTCAAATCAAAGAAATCTTTATAAAATAAATACATGTTACTGATTAAAAAAATACATGTATTTTTTGTAAAATAAATATAAAAAGAAGAAGAATAAAATTTTCCTAACAATATTTTTTTTTCTAAAATTTAAATCGTTAATTGTTGTATAAATATTTATTTTAATTGGCATAAGATTCGATTTGAAAAACTACCTGGCAGCATCACTGAACTTGACTGGTCGGTGATTCCTATACTGAGATAAAAGTGCACGTCTCCCCGCCACCATATACAAGCCATGATGGTGCATTGCTTGCTGTTATTATGCTTTTGCCTAGCGCAAAGAGCTTAGGCGCTTTTGGAAATATGATGTAAATGGTGTTTTATAAAAATTTAGAATATTTTTGTTTAAATTATATATCAAAAATAAATTTAAAAAAAATAAAAAAATTAGTTTAATATATTTTTAAATAAAAATATATTTTAAAAAGTAACTAACACTATAAAATCAAACGCTCGCTTGAAGACACTATCTCAAAATATGTCACAGGAGAAATCCATAGTTTTTAAACCTGGTCTGGTGGCCGGCCCAGGTATGAAACTTTTTAAGAAACGTTTTTAAACCTGGCCCGGTGGCTGGCCCGGTCCAAAGTCTGGGTTCCGTCACAGGAGAAATCCATAGTTTTTAAACCTGGTCTGGTGGCCGGCCCAGTTCACGGCCCGGGTTTCAGGTTTTGACTGGGTCATCAGGTTTTGACCGAGTTTAAGACCCGAGTTCCAGGTTTTGACCGGGTCAATTTTTATTTTTTAAAAAATTCAAAACGACGTCGTTTTAGTAAAAAAAAAAAGTCAACAGATTGCAACCGGGTTTTGCCGGGTCGTCCAGGTTCCCGGGTCAACCCGCCGGGTCGTCCGGGTCACACCGGGTTGGCTCACCTTATTTTTTTATTAACCCGGCCCGGTTCCAGCCCCGGATCGGACGGGTCCCGGGTCAACCCGCCGGGCCGGGTTTTAAAACTATGGAGAAATCTATTCTCTTTCAATAGCAAATGCCAATATTCCTCCACTCGGAGTAGATCCAAACAGAGACTGGAAGAATACGCCTGCAGTCTTCTGGTTTGATAGAAGACAAAAGTTTTGGCAATCATGATCCTACGTGGACAACACGGATGCAATCACAGAATGCATTGCTGTGATCTTTCTGTGCCTTTCTTTACTTTATTTAACACAATCACTTAAAAAATTATTTTGGAATATGGTCCCTGCACTTGTAATGCAAATTCCCCAACACGATAATATTATTCCCGCCTGTCCATCCAAGGAGTTTTTTAATCGTATCCTTCATTCACCAAAGAATCTCGAGAGAGAGAGAGAGAGAGAGAGAGAGAGAGAGAGAGAGAGAGAGAGAGAGAGATAATAGTGACAGAAGAAAAAACTCAACATGTAATTTTATACGCGCATGGCACAAGTCAACCAAGATTCAAAGGTGTGCATTTAACCAGTCAGGATTGCCATGCCTTGCCAAAAACCTCATGATTTAATGCTTGTTCAGAAGAAAACAACAATACTCCAGGGGATGATAAATTTCGCCTGCAGACCAGGATATTGTGAGAACGGTGATCAGAAACAAATTTACAAGCCTTGGACAATGCAGCGCTCCCTGAGCATCGCGCGTAAAGAAGGAGATTTGATGGTATAGCGGTATGGACATGCATGGATTCTGCAGATGGTGCTTGGTGGTCAAGATCTAATTCAACTTAGGCTGGCCATCCAATGGAAAAGTTGATTGATCACATCAAGAGGTCCTGATCACAGCAAAATAAGATGATTAAGATTGGATGCAGTTTATTCAAAAAAAATCTTACAATGATAAAGGAGCTGCACTTAAGTTATTCTCTAGACGAGTTGGTGGGGTATAAACGTATAAAGCCTCTTTATGGAAAGATATGTATGCGCACATCTCTCTTTCTCAGTGCTACCACGGGAACCTGCTTTTCATCATGAAGAAAACTGATGCACCCAATGATCCCCTCAATCATGTCATTTATATTTCGCTTCCTCATCTCCTTCTCTGCAACGACCAACTTAACCACCTCCTCCATCTCTCCCTAGCTCTTTCTCTCTCTCGCCGCCACCCCCCCAACTCAGATGGCTTTTCAATCTATTATCCTCCTTTTTGTGTCACTGATTTCTCTAACCTATCCTTTACAAACTATCAGCACTAACCCATATCAGTTCTTCAATCTCATGAAAGCTTCCTTGTCAGGAAATGTCCTGTCTGATTGGGATGTCACGGGAGGGAAACCATACTGCAATTTCACAGGAGTTGGCTGCAACGGTCGAGGTTATGTTGAGATGATTGACGTAACTGGGTGGTCAATTTCTGGCCGTTTTCCATCTGGAATATGCTCGTACTTTCCAGACTTGCGTGTTCTTCGTCTAGGCCACAACAGTATCCACGGTGACTTCCTTCACAGCATCGTCAACTGCTCTTTCTTGGAAGAGTTGAACTTGAGCTTTTTGTTTGCTACCGGAACATATCCAGATTTCTCACCATTGAAATCCTTACGGATACTTGACGTGTCATACAACCGCTTCACGGGTGAGTTTCCCATATCAGTAACAAATCTTTCCAATCTTGAGGTGCTCAACTTCAATGAAAACGATGGCCTCCACTTATGGCAACTGCCGGATAATATTTCTAGGCTGACAAAGCTCAAACGCATGATCTTGACAACCTGCGTGCTGCATGGTCCAATCCCAGCATCAATCGGAAACATGACATCCCTTGTTGATCTTGAGTTAAGCGGGAATTTCCTTTCTGGTCATATCCCTGTAGAGCTTGGATTGTTGAAGAACTTGCAGCAACTTGAGCTCTACTATAATTACCACCTTTCCGGTAATATACCTGAGGAATTTGGAAACTTGACAGAGCTTGTAGATTTGGACATCTCAGTCAATAAATTGACAGGAAAGATTCCAGAATCTGTATGTCGCCTTCCCAAGCTTGAGGTCCTGCAGCTTTACAACAACAGTCTCTCAGGAGAAATCCCCAGAGCCATCGCAAGTTCAACAACCTTGCGCATACTCTCAGTTTACGATAACTTTCTGACAGGAGAAGTGCCGCAGGACCTGGGGCACTTATCAGCCATGATCGTCGTAGACTTGTCAGAGAACCGCCTATCAGGGCCATTACCATCAGATGTTTGCAGGGGAGGTAAACTGCTCTACTTTCTTGTCCTGGATAACATGTTTTCTGGAGAGTTACCTGATAGCTATGCAAAATGCAAGACTCTTCTAAGGTTTCGACTGAGTCATAACCATTTGGAGGGCTCAATACCTGAAGGTATTCTAGGCCTTCCTCGTGTTTCAATTATTGATTTGAGTTATAATAACTTTAGTGGTCCAATTTCAAATACAATTGGAACTGCGAGAAACTTGTCAGAACTGTTCGTACAAAGCAACAAGATTTCGGGTGTTATACCTTCTGAAATTTCTAGGGCTGTCAATCTGGTAAAGATTGATCTCAGCAGTAATCTCCTGTATGGCCCCATACCTTCTGAAATTGGCTATTTAAAGAAGCTAAATTTACTGATCTTGCAAGGCAACAAGCTGAATTCTTCCATCCCCAAGTCGCTATCTTTGTTAAGATCTCTCAATGTTCTTGATCTTTCCAACAACCTCTTGACTGGAAGTATCCCTGACAGTCTGAGCGAGTTGTTACCAAACTCCATCAACTTTTCAAACAATCTTCTCTCTGGTCCAATACCTCTCTCACTGATTAAGGGGGGACTGGTGGAGAGTTTTTCAGGCAACCCAGGTCTCTGTGTTCCAGTCTATGTTGATTCATCAGATCAAAGTTTCCCCATGTGTTCACACACTTACAATCGAAAGAGGCTAAATTCTATCTGGGCAATCGTAGTATCAGTAGCTATCCTTAGTGTTGGAGCTCTCCTGTTTCTTAAACGACAATTCAGTAAAGACAAAGCTGCCAAGCAACACGATGAGACCACGGCTTCATCATTCTTCTCCTACAATGTAAAGAGCTTCCACCCAATAAGTTTCGATCAACGTGAGATCCTTGATGCCATGGTTGACAAGAACATAGTGGGCCATGGAGGATCTGGGACTGTGTACAAAATTGAACTGAGCAGCGGAGAGGTTGTTGCAGTGAAGAAGCTGTGGAGTAGGAAATCGAAAGATTCTGCTTCAGATGATCAATTGCTGTTGGATAAGGGGTTGAAAACTGAGGTAGGGACTCTAGGAAGTATAAGGCACAAGAACATAGTCAAGTTGTACTGTTATTTCTCGAGTTCGGATTGCAACCTGTTGATTTATGAGTATATGCCAAATGGGAACCTTTGGGATGCCCTTCACAAAGGGTCGACCCATCTGAATTGGCCCACCCGTCATCAAATAGCAGTTGGAGTTGCTCAGGGCTTGGCATATCTCCATCATGATCTCCTGCCACCAATCATTCACAGAGACATAAAGTCAACCAACATCCTGCTTGATGCTAACTACCGGCCCAAAGTTGCAGATTTTGGCATAGCCAAGGTTTTGCAAGCTAGAGGAGGGAAAGACTCCACCACCACTGTCATTGCAGGGACCTACGGTTATTTGGCCCCGGGTAATGCATTTCTTTGTTAGCTCAGTGAAAAGATTCCTATACTAATCTTCTAGTTTCACCAGTCAATACTGTGAGTTTTCAATTGCATTAATTAACTACTTTACGCAGACACTTGCATATCAGCATAACCAGTCTATTACTTGCAGTCACTCTGTGATGAATCTTTTTTTTCTTGAAATAAAATAATCTATCTATTTATTTAACTCAGTTTCCATTTATTAATCTGTCAGCTGATTTTATTCAATTCAATTTTCCTCGTGGCAGAATATGCGTACTCATCTAAAGCAACAACCAAGTGTGATGTCTACAGTTTTGGGGTGGTGTTGATGGAACTAATAACTGGGAAGAAGCCAGTAGAGGCAGATTTTGGAGAGTGCAAGAATATTATACATCTGGTTTCAACAAAAGTGGACACCAAGGAAGGAGTGATGGAGGTGCTGGACAAGAAGTTATCAGGGTCTTTCAGAGATGAGATGATTCAGGTTCTCCGGATCGCCATCCGATGCACCTACAAGACCCCAGCCCTTCGACCCACCATGAATGAAGTTGTCCAGTTGCTGATCGAGGCAGGCCAGAACAGAGTCGATTCTTTCAGGTCATCAAATAAAAGCAAAGAGGCATCAGACGTCACTAAAATAAAGAACCAGTTTGAAATATGATTGCAATAGTAGTATGGTGGGGATGTAGGTTAAGAGTAATATAGCAACTATATACAATAGCATTGTCTCTAAAAACTTTTGAGAGACTTGTCATAAAGAGTAACTTAATCTTCTTTTCGTTTAACTAAAGTAGCTTTCAGATTAATCTCTTTTATTTTTCTTCTTTTCCATTTTGTTTTACTGCTCTTGTAAGTTATATGAGGAATTTTATCAATACAACTGCTTTATAGTAACGCACAGCATCTATCTTTCATCGACCCACAAACGAAATCATTCTCCAGATTTCAAGAATTTTGTTTTTTTCCTCTTTATCCTTTCACAAGAGTGATCCAAAGAAAAGAGACTCAAAAAAGAAGTCCCCAAGTGGCTGAGGGTGGAAGGTTCTTATTAGTCCCGATTCTGATTATAAAAAACAAGCCATGATCTATGTATGAAGGGTCCACTTCAGCTGCCATGCTATATATGCCCTCTAAAAAGATCAGTGGAGCAGATCGATTGATTGATTAGAATCTTTGTCTCCATTTAACTCAGGGAAAGAAGGCAAAGCAAGAGACTTCTAATTTATCATGTTTCTCCCTTTACCGAGTGAGTTGATTGATTTATTGCTTTGTTGCCGTGGATGTGTAGGAAGGGTGGAAAAATGGAACCAAGCTTGTTTCACCTTAGATAGTGAGCCAAGTACCTCCACCTATTAAAGGTATTCTTGAGTGAGACACATGATTCTTCCATTTTTCTTATGGCTGAGTATTATATCGTTATTATGCTCTGATAACTGGCTCTTTCAACAGGCAGCATTAAGGTGCAGATTGTTGTACTCGTTCACCGAAACAAAAACTGCTAGGATCTCTCAATTTCACGATGAAAGAAGCAGTGATTGAACAAAGAGAGAGGGCGTTTCTCTGGTTGATTTAGCAGGTATTCCGGTTGAAAAAACTGGCAACAGGGAACAAGCATGAGCACATGACAGTGTGCGCAGCTACACGTGTGGGCATGTTTCTTCAGCATTCAGGAGTTGCTTGCGGGGTCCTAAAAAGAAGAAGAATATGATTCATGGAGACAAGCATTTCTTGCTTTTTATCGTGGTGGAGAGTCCACAAAAGAGAAGTGCTACTACACCTTCATTGATGGAATAGTTCTGGGATGACATGACAGGGTATCAACTATCAGGATATGCTTGGCTGTTATCATAGGAAGCTTTATAATCCAGGACAGACATGTCCTTTACAGGTGCACGGAGCCAAATATCAATAATTGCAAATTATTCTTTACATTTTAGATCACAAAAGTCATAAGCCATTGTTCTCACTCTCTCCCTATTGCCACCCATAAACACAACAAAGCAATGATGAGACGATTAATTTTCTCTGAATCACATACCCACTGACATTTAAGTAATTGGGAGTTGCGAAAAACTACCTGTTCGTACCACTTTGACGCTAATGCTAATGTCACTCTAAGCCTGTAAAAATAATTTAGTAGTTAATCCAACTATTGTGTGCTTGGCATTAAAAAAACAAATGTGATGATAATCATTGCTGGGTCGAATAAACACATAACATGGAGTCCGAGCGAGTAGAGAAAACCGAGTTCATGGTACCCTCCCTTTCTATAATGAGCATCTCCATGTGATGGAGTGGAAGTGGTGCACTCCGATTAAAGAACATTTTATTCCACTATTAAGACACGTCTGAAGTGCGGTAACTGGACTCCGATACACCATCGATGATGCGATTTTGGAGCAGTGAATGTGCATTTCGGGGTTTAGACCAAGCTGGTTTGCTCGAATGGAGTTCGGGCTGCGTTTAGGCAATTTGCAATACACGTGATGTGCTCTGCAGATTAAACAGAGAGTTGCAACTACAGCCATAAGTGGGCAACGGGACTCTCTTCCTGCTTAACTAAATGGGTCCTCGCCTCAAAATAATGGCCTCTTTGAGGCCGTTGACCAACGGCACCAGCTCTCTTTTGCTCCCTCCTTGATGCATCTATGCTTATGATAAAGAAATAAACTTCTGCAGTCCTGTATTTTTATTGAATCTAATCCCGTCCTGTTTCTTTATAGTTTGTTTGGAACCGATTATAGTATTTAATTTACATTCAATTTATAAATAAGTTAAATTCATTTTATTTTTTATATTACCTCACCACTTTCATTTCATTGCTTTAAAGACCTCTAAAAACAAATGATTAAATGACAAATAGGTAGATATGTGAGTGTCTTGAGTTTTAACATTTATTTATTTTATTTAAAATTATAAATCGGTTGATATATTTATTTTTGTATACTTTTGACAAAGGATTCCAGATATATTGTTGTTGCTTTTTTATTATACAATATGCTAAAAGAAAACGGCAAAACAATGTAGAAATGAAAATTTTGTAATTTTAAATTTTTTTTTACTACAGTGATGACATGATTGTAATTTTTTATTTTTTTCAATTTTTCACTGAAAAATTTGTAATTTTTTTTGTGAAAAAATATTTTTTTTTCTTTACACTTGGCATATTCATAAATTTACACCTGGCCTATTTATTATAGTTTTTTTTTGTTCCTATCTTCATTCTTTTATAGTTTTTATTTAAAAAAACATTTTTCTTTTTTATTCCTTCAACTTTTTTTGAAAAAATATATTATTTTTTATTTACAATATTTAAAATATTTATCACTCCATACTTATAATCTCATGTGCATCCGTCCCTTTTTAGAATAGGTCTGGTGTGCAGAACTAGCTTGACAAGCCTAATAATGTCTATTTTTTTTTATTTTTTTAATTGATATTTTTTGTAATATCTATTTTGTTTTATTGATATTTTTTAAGAAGAAAATTTTTTAAAAAACTTTTTTATTTAATATTTAAATTAATATAAGAAGAAATTTTTTTAAATAACTTTTTTATTTAATATTTAAATTAATATTATTCTCTTTTATTTTATAGATTCTTTATTAAGACTTTTTTAAATAATTATTTGACTTTTAATGAGGTGAATCAAATATTTATAATACTATTATTTATTTACTGGTGTAGATAGTTTTTAACTTATTCAATTAAATACATTTATTATAAAAAAATTTATAGTAAAAGATCCTGTGAAAAACTACATATTTTTTTTCAGGAAAAAAAAATATATGCAATAGCTAGTATCTATACTAGTCATGCCCTTTCCAACATATTATGATTAATTTCTTCATTCATCCAGCACGTGCAAGAGCATTGATCGGAATGTGAAGCCGCTTTGATCGTGATTGCAGAAATATAACCAGCATGCTCGCTGTCATAAGTAGTGGAGACTTAATTAAAAGGAATGCATAGTTGGGGACTGAATCGAGGTCTGCTCGAAAGAAATCAAGAGGTCAATGGCTCGTTGCCGGTGGGTGGCTGGGTGCCAGATTTTCCAGTCCATGAATTACACCCGGTAAACTCAGCAGGATAGTGATTCCTTGAGACTTTTCTGCTAGTTTACGTGTGATCGTTGGAAAAATGTGGCGGTGGTGGAGGCGGACCTAAAGCAAAGTTGCCACATATAATATTATGATTATAGTAGGGGCACTAAATTATCTCATCTGATGGTAACAAACTATACCAGTCCAGCATGTTATTCAGGTACCCAATCAATTCGAGGTATTGATTGACCAAAATTTTAAAATATAAAATTATTTTAGTTAATAAAACTCATGTTAATTTATTGAATTTATTAACCCGGTTAAAACAAAGCTCCTCATCACTTGAGTTTTTTAATTTTTTTTTAGATTAACGTGGTGTCCGGGCCAGCTTGCGCGCACCACGACTAATCCCACGGGCCCTGAAGTTAACGACCATGTAAACCTTCAGTGACCATCATATGAGCAACCAAGGACTCGAATCTGAGATTATAAAGGGAATAAATCTTTTAGTCCCAAGTTTTTATCACTTGATCACCACTTAAATGGTTGAGTTTTTTAATTTTCTGGTACAATGTTTTGTTGTTCTGAACTGCGGACCGTGTCAAAATCATTCCACTTGGCATCTCGGTGAAGTGAAATATGCTCCGTGAAAGTGCGCTCTCTTCAACATTTGATAGTCTAATTAGTTTGCTAAGCTTTACGGGTTTGTAATATATTTATGTGTTATTATAAATTTATAAAAAAATTATATATAAAAAAATTATTATAATTCATAATATTTCCAAGAAAAATTAAACTTAAAGATAAATTCTGAAATAATTTAATATTATAAAACTAAAAATAATTTAAAAAATATAAAAAAATTGCTCTTCATCTCTTGAGTTTTTCAATTTATTTTTTTTAGATTAATGTGGGCGTCCGGGCCAGTTTGTGCGCATCACGACTAATTCCACGGGCCCTGAAGTTAACGACCATGTAAGCCTTCAGTGACCATCATATGAACAACCAAGAACTCGAATCTGAAATCATAGAGAAAGCAAACCCCTTAATTTCAAGATTTTACCACTTAACCACCACCTAAATAATTGAGTTTTTCAATTTTTTGGTACAATGTTTTGTTGTTCTGAACTGCGGACCGTGTCAAAATCATTCCACTTGGCATCTCGGTGAAGTGAAATATGCTCCGTGAAAGTGCGCTCTCTTCAACATTTGATAGTCTAATTAGTTTGCTAAGCTTTACGGGTTTGTAATATATTTATGTGTTATTATAAATTTATAAAAAAATTATATATAAAAAAATTATGTAAGAAAACACTGCATTAATTAATAGTGTTTTATAATGAAATATACAATTATAATTCTTAACAAAATTAATATTAAAAAATAAAAATAATTTAAAAAATATAAAAAAATTATGTAAGAAAACACTGCATTAATTAATAGTGTTTTATAATGAAATATACAATTATAATTCTTAACAAAATTAATATTAAAAAATAAAAATAATAAAAATAATTTTAAAAAATCATATAAATACAAAAGGAAAACAATTATGCAGGAAAACACTGTAGTAATTTGTAGTGTTTCATGATAAAATTTACAGTTGTAATTTTCAACTAACTCAATATTAAAAATAATAAAATTGATAAAAATAATTTTAAAAAAATTATAAAAAAAAGAAATCATATGAAGAAACACTTTAGCAATCAATGATATTCTAAATAAAAAAACTATAAATTTAAATTCTCAATCAGCTCAGTATTAAAAAAAAAATTCAATAAGGATAATTTTAGTAAAAAAATTGAAAAAAAAACATGTGAGGGAACACTTTAGCAAGAAAAAAATCAACATTTAAAA